AGGTGTAGTTTGAAGCCAGAAGGCACAATTAGATCATTTAGATCAGGGACTGCTAATCATGATGTCAAAATGCATGAGACAATTTAAAGCCTAGGGCCAGACCACACCATTCTGCTGTTGCTCTGAAGGCAGGGTGCCGTGCTGCACAGCAGCAAGGCCAGAACAGGATCGCCATAATAAATTACAAAATTTTGGTTGCTTTTCATTAAAGTTTTGATTACTGACATTGCTCAACAAGAAGTAGTAATACAATGCTGTAATCATAGTAGCAGGTAACAAGTACTGATACTATCCAGGACAGTAAGGACTATGCTCTCCCAGTGACCACTGTTGCAGCTGATTGCCTGAGAGTGCAGAACAGAAAGGAAAAAAGACAAACCACAGAGCATTTCCTGATTTTTGGCTTCTGCCTTTCTTGCAAGGACATCCCTTGTTTTCTGGTTGATGAACAGCACCTGTTTTTTGCTCACCAGCTGCAAGCATTGATGAAATGACTGTGTTCAAGCCAGCTGGAAGCTTTTTCTTCCTTGTATTCCCTACTTGTTTCTCCTCTCCTGAACGTGTTAATGCCTAGAAGCTATGGGAGAGAGGGAGAAAAAAGACAACAAGGTGGAATTGTCTGTTGCATGTCATGTGTTGTGTGTGCTTTTTAAAGAACCATAATGGAAGCCAAAGTCTGTGGGTTTAATTGCATTTTAATATAATGCTCGATCTGATTAGCCTGTTATATAGTATATTTTTATAGAAGGTTGAAATTGAGTGTTTATTCTTGGATCACAGGCAAACAGCAACATTCCTCTGTATCTCTGCTTGAAAACGCTTGTCCTAATACTTATAATTCACTATTTAAATGCAAGTGGTAAATGGTTTGGGGGTTATTTTTGTATCAGTGTGCAAATAATTTTTTTTTGGTACCTGAAGCTGAGAAAAGAAACCATGAAAGTAAATTCTTTTGTTGTGTCTGGTTACTGACTTTTAGCTTAACTGACAAGAGCTTATTCCAAATCTTTTTTGTTAGAGTTGTACCTTTCTTAGCATTTTTAAGAATGAGAAGTTCCTTTCAACTCTGAAGGATTCCCACTGTAAGGAGTGATGTTGCCAATCTTCCAGCAATAAGGATAAAACATGGAATATGTCTGGCATCAACAAGTGTTTTGGTTAGGGGCAGGTGTTTTTGAAGTGGATGTTTGCCTTCTATTTTTCTCTGCAGGACTTTAAGAAGAATAGACTCTAATCTGGGAATATATTCAACAAGTGAAATATCTAGGGGATGGGGAACTGCCTGGAGCCAAGCTGCAGTAGGAAAAGTGGCTAATTATCTAGCAGTTTCAGGCTTGCAGCTTGCTTTCTGTGAAGCAAAAAAAAAAAAAAAAAAAAAAAAAAAAAAAAAAAAAAAAAAAAAAAAATAAAAAAACCCAAACCAGGGTCTGCATAAGGCAACTGGCTAGATAAAGCTATATAGCACTGCCTGGATGTGTTACAAATCCATTTGAGCTAGGCCTGCCTAATTCAGTCACTCAATAAACCAAGCAAAAGCTTATTTTGCTAAATCTCTTCAAGTAACTGCTGAGGCAGCTGAAGGCTTTGTGGCATTCTTGGCAGGCTGAATGGATTGTATTGTAAGTCAATTAAGCCTTAGTTAATGTTTGGTGAAGTTGGTGAAAGAAGTGGTAGGGCACTTGTGTAGTATCAGCTCCAAGAGAGAATAAGATCTACAGGCAACCAAAATTGTTTAACTAAGGTGAATAGTCCACACAGTATTGTGCTGGTCTGTTTTTCCTCTGTATGGGTCTTGAGGGTTTGGACTCATTTTGTAGAAATATTTAGACTGAACTATTATAACAGTCCTATGATGTTTTATGTGGAGGTACTAGGTTGAATAACTGATGATGTGCACTTCTGGTTGTAAATGAAGTAACGTTTTTAGCTAATAATAAAACTTGAGAACTCTTTAGTGGTGATAAAGTGCAAGACTGTACTTCCGTTTTGTCTTGAAAATCATCAGCTCTAGTAGATGCTAGGGAATCTACAGTTGCTTGCAGTGATTCTTTGCCTGGGGAAGAGTCCTGTTGAGAGTAACTTCGTACTGTGACATGTATTCAGAGCCCCCTTCGTCTGTGCAAAGACTAATCAATCCATAGCAGTAGTATTTTAAGGTAACTTTGGGATTATAGGAACCAGAATTTATATAGTGAGAAGGGTTATTAGTGTGAGAATGAAAAGCAATCTTGAAATAGAAATGTTTTGCTGAGAAGCATCTTCTTCAAGTCAAGGGCTTTTCAAGTTATTTCAACTCCTTAGGTGAGAATCGTAAAATTAGCTTTAATTGAGCTCCTTTAGGTAGATTAGAAAAAGGTGTCTTATGAAGTGTGTCCTGGACAAGGTACTACATAGTTTATAACGGACTGTTGCTCTGATCGTGTTTACTGTGAACTGTTAAATTTCAGCTATTACTCTGTGGAGTCCCACAACTTGTGTTTCTTTACAATACTTTTCTTTCTTTCACTTAAGGTATACAGTCATGATTGTATTATGCTCTGCTTAGAATGATAATTGAACAATATATCACCTTGCAGAAAATACATGCTCTGTTTGTCTGACTTCATTTTCTAAATAGTGGCTCTATCTCAGCAAAATCAATGACCTTTCCCAAGACTTGTATTTTCTCCAGATGAATTTATGAGATAATTAATCTTTTACTGTCTTTTGATTAAGCTCTTGTTCTCTCAAAGCAACTTTTCTCATTCTTGAATCATTTATATGACTCCATTAAAAATCATGTCATCTTTGCTCTTTTCCCCCTGCTTTTTTTTTTATCCCTCCCTGACTGTGAGCCCCACACCATTCTAAAGTTGTTGCTCCCTTTGTACAAGCTCTTAGAAAAGTAGTCTAAGGCACCAGGCTCTTACACAGGTGTAACTTACCAGTGAAATCTAGAAAGAGCAGATTTCTTGAACAGAAGTATGCTATAATCTCATAATGCTGCTTTTCCCTAGATGTGCACTGAGTACAATAATACCACCTTGAATAATTCTAAGGCAAGTACAGGCACCAAATTTTATAGTTTAGTAAGACTTTTTTCAACAGTTGAATGCTTGTGCCAGTGGTTTCTAACCTGTCCTCTGAATGTCATTGTCAATAAAGCTACAAGACCTTGTAAATAGCTTGTCAAAGCTATTTATTTACAAAACAAAAAGTCTTGTAAATAAAAGTGACATATATTATATACAGTGACCTATAATTTCCTAATGTTTTGCACTTACATGATGCATTAAGCAGATGTTGCAAAAATCACTTAGTGATAATAGCTGCCAGATGATTTTTAGGACTATCTCAACTACATACTTATTTAATGTCTTCATGTATTTAAACAATAAGATCTGTCTCTCAAGTAGAAGTCTCTTTCTATGCCTTCAACATTACAATTTCCAGAAATAGAATAGCTTTCTAAGTAATCCTGAAAATTTTTATATCTATGTGTCTGCATGTTTTATGTCCTACTTCTTTCAGCCCTATTGCTTTCAAGAATTATCAGTGTTTAGTAGCTAAACTCATGCATTCTTCCTTCATGTATTCCTGAAAGATGATCACTTTGAGCTTTAAAAATGGTTATTTTATAATATAAAGTATTGTTAGATAGCAGCTTAGGATATAGACTTGAAACTGTAAACAGTACATTACCTGAGGAGAAATTTGTCCTTGACCCTATCTTAATCCACAAGCAGGATTACCACAGGGATCAGCAAATATCCAGCATTTAGCACTATGGGAAAACAAAGTGCTAGGATGGGGCTGCAGACATGAATAGAAGTAGATTTCATCATTCTCTTGTTTTCTTTTTGGTTTGGTTGTTTGTTGGTTGTTTTTTTTTTTGTTGTTTTTTTTTTTGATGTGACAGGGGTGGAAAGTACTACTCTTGTCCCCAACTTGGAAAGAATGCCCAAGTGAATGATGCAGGTTGTCAGGGTCTGCTTATTTCCAGGGTCCTTTAGAGACCTTCCTGATGCATCTCTAACTGAATGTATTCGTCCTCTGGAAGGACCAGTATAATGCCCTGTAACTCTTGAGAGGTGGAACACTGGCAATAGAAAATTCTTCTTTCCTTAAAATGAGTAATCCAAGTATACAGATAAAAATTATCCAAGTACAGAGATGAAAATTACCCACAGTGCTTCTAACTCAAGGTTCCACCACAAAGCTCTGTGCCAGCTGACAGAACTTTGGGCTTACTTGATTGGATGTGGGAGATCTAAATGATGAAAATAAATAGGTATGGAGAAATGCCAGCAGCAGTAATGCCTGTCAGTTCCTCACTGCAACACAGCCTGGGGCAAACTGGTGGAATCCCTCTTGATGGTGATGGTTAGAGGTAAGGGGTTGAAACAGGGCTCCCAAGAGAAACGGGCAATTTTATTGCTGACACACTTCAGAAAGTCACAAAACTCCACTAGATCCATTCCTCACTTGTCCAGAATGCCTTAGGGAGGACTTTATAGATATTCATCTTTCACTAGGTGCTATAAAGGAAAATTAGATATCTACTTTGAATTCTAAATGCAAAATCAGTCTGCATGTTGGGTGGACTGTCTCTCACCTAACTTCATGCAACATCCCTGAGGCAGGGAGATGCAACTGGTTTTCTTTGTGTTAGATAGAGAACAGAGAGACTTAATTAACACAGTTACGCAGAAAGGCAGAAAATAAAACCTACTATATACTGTCACCACTGATTATTTTTATTTTTTTTTCCCAGTTTGATGGTAAAACTGGTGCCAAGTAGTAGTTGTTTTGAAATATGACTCTTGACTACCTGAAGTACTTAATGCATGCTGTTGGATAATGTGAAGTGAGTGCCTGCAAGATATGTTTGGCTTTACATCTTGTGTGGAACTCTGCTGGCTTCAGGTTGAGCTACTGATGTAGAGTTTGGCAGGAGCAGCCCAGTCTCTGCCAGCAGAGAGTGAAAGGCCCAGAGGAATGAACAGAGCTGTTTCTCAGGGATGGTGTCCAGCAATAGGTACCAAGCACTGCAGTGGAATACTGGGTCAAGAAGGCTCCCTCCTAATAAGACAACATTTGCCAGGCTGCTGCAACAAGCCTATACGACTGGGCTCATAGGTAAGGTAAAATGTTTTAGTGTGACCTTGAAGGGAATTCATGTAACTAGCTCATGTGTTCACTCAAAATGGTCCGTTTGTCACTGATACAAATCCTCTCAAAAGGTGGGGGCAGCAGGAGGGGGAAACGCGGGATGAAAAGGAAAAAACCCTTTTAAGATGAGTAAAAATACTGCAGTCTAAAGAGTTTTAAGGCAATGGTAATATTAGTAAAGAGCACCGAGAACAGGAAGAATTAAAAACTGTCTCATGTTTATAATGGGTATTTATTTTGCTTGGCCTAAGATTTTTCAAATGTTGGTCCACTGTGAGAGTTTTCTAATGTAGGAATTATTCCAAAAAAAACAATGTCTTCAGTATTCCATTTCTCTTTAGGTAGCAAAAGGCTAAAAAGAGAATGCAGAAGGAAAAGAACAAAGTTTGTACCCACAAAGCACAAGCATCTCATAGATGAGGCTGTTAGGTCCCAAGGATATATGGTGGTTATTTCTTCAGATGAAGCCAAAATGCAAAGGTGTCAGGGAAACACTGTCCCAGAGCACTTTCCTGCTGTGGCTTTGATCAGACCTCAGCAGTTTCAAGATTCATCATTCTTTTGCCAAATACTTAAAAAATCAACATGGAAAATCTCTTCCCTTCCATTTGCTTTTATTACTGTTAAGTATCAGACACTCCGCAATGGATCTCTTCAAGTAAATGGGTAGGTAGGGTAAGCACTGTGTCCCTTAAAGCCAGAGGGTTTCGGGCTGGCTGTACCAAATGCATTGTCATCTCCAAGTGCTGGAAATAGATGTGGCTGCATTGAATCATGAGCTAATGAACTGTAGTCTTCTTGGCCTAGTCTGTAATTACTCAACAATCACATAACCCAGCAAACCTCAGCGTGCTTTGATTCAGCATATTTTCTAAGCAGACAACATCTTCTGTCTACTTGCTCTGTTTTGGCCAGGGATAAAGTGAAATGTTGGTTTATATCCTTTTCTCCATTTTATATGGAGTAGAGGCATGCTTGAGAAATCATCTTGCTGAATCTGGCGATCAAGATGTTTGTTAACATTGGCTAAAAGTTTAGGGGCTCTTACAGTTATCTTCTCTATGTTAAAATGAAGTTGTGAATTGAAAGTTTGGAAAGGAATCTGTTAAAGAAGCCAATGAGTTATGGCACTTTAATTCCCTGATCCTCAGTGAAAGCAAATGAAAACCCATCCTTATGTGACCCTTTCCACCTCAGTAGCTAAGCATCTTGAATATTTCTCTGTTCATTCCAGAATCATTCAGGGATCGCTCATTATGGTATGACATTCACCTGACCAAACACTGGTTTCACCCAGCATCTTTGTGTGTATGGAAATGTGTTGATAATCTTGAAAAATGGATTGACTTACCTAATTACCAAACAGGTATAAACAACACTAGCTTAGGCTCTATTTGAGTTGTCCACCTTAATGTTCTCTTTTTTTTCTTTTTATGCTTTAAAACCTTAAGAAAAATGGCTTCAAGTTATAAACAGTGAATCTTCAATGATCACTGTCACCATCCTCTCAGTCATGGTTTTGACTACTTTTATTGGATGCATTTTACACTTCTAAACAGCTATCAAGGAAAAAACCTCCAAAGGCAGATTTAGCCTTCCGCTGAGCAGGCAGCAGTAAGAAATACAAGACTTCTACATAGAACTATAGATGTTTGTAATTGTGCCCCTATAGGCTATCTCAGTATAGTAGTTTCAGTCATTACTGCTTCCTGTACTGCTCTGTTATCTCTGCAGAAATATTGTGGAGATGCTGAGCAACACAGAGCGCATCTGATCTAGTGAGGGATCATCTTCAAGTTGTGAACAGCTTTTTGAACAGACCTGCACCTTTAGCTTTAGCTGAGTACTAATAAGAAGTATCACAGACAGCGTGAAGTACAACATGTTGATGTGCAGAATACCTCTGCAACAGTTAGAAAGATTTTTCTTCTCGGAAGGTGGTCCTGGTGCATGCTAATTTGGTGAAAGCAATTTTATTGCATGTGAGATGCCAATAAAAATGGTTTGGATTAATAATTGCCACTATTTCAATGCCAGTTCTGGAAAAACAAGGTTCATTTGAGAGTCATATTGGAAAAAGTCACTTGTAAAAAGGGATGTTGCCCATACTAGTTAAAAAAAAAAAACACCAAACAAACAAAAAAGGCAAACCAAAAATCCTGCAGCAATGTCATCCTAGCCAGGCTTTCTAAGGAGATGTTACTTTGCACTGAGGTTTGCAGTGAAATTGCAGAGATTTTAGGGCTTTGAACAGTATTAACAGCTGTATTTGTGTAGGAGTAGATGAAGCCAAAGTTTATTATAAGCATGCTTATAGAACTTTAGAGGCTTGAATTTAGTAAATGGAAAAAGGTTGTTTTAGTTTGTTTTGTATTATTTCCCTCCCCCTGCCAAATACCCCTGGAAATATCTTCTTGCTCGGTCAGCCAGCTTTGTTGATTAATGCTTTTCTTCTTAACTCTTAGTGCTTTTTCATAAGGGTGACATAGAAGCAATTTCACAAATTTCTGTTTCTTTCAATATACATTCTTCACTACTGTAAGTTCACTCAGAAAGCTTGCCAAAGGTGGAAGGGACTACATAGATGCCAGTAGTGCTTTTAGTACTCTCATATCTGTGAAAAAAACAGATAAAAAGTGGTACTATATAGCACACAATTACTCAAAGTAAGTTTTTGCTGGCAGAGAATTTGTTTGTATGCAGCAGGGAGTAAACAGAAGCTTCCTATGCTCAGGCACAGTGAAAAACTGGTTAGCTGCAGAGGAGGAAATACTGCAGGGCTTAAAATGCACAGATAAAAATGACCTCATTTCTGCCGCTCTGTTACAAAGCTCTCTTTGTAACAGTGAAACGGAAAGAAAAATAAATTAAGAATAGGCGGAGGAGGGAAACAACAGAAAAGTCTTGTTTAAAACTTAGTTCTGCTGAAGACAACAAAGTAATCACAGCTGTTACCTCTGTACTGGGTCAAGCATGCTGTGATTTGAGAATTTTTTTTTTTTTTTTCAAGACCAATATCTTTGCCCCACAAAGCATAACAAGTTGGTAAGCAGACATACAAAACAAGTATTGCGGTAAAATAGGTATAGGTAGAAGCAGCCCAATATGACAAATTTTATCTTGTAAAAATAAGTTAATATAGGTGTAAGTTCAAGGAGGTCAATGAATAAAGAACTTCCAAGAACCCTGCTTTTCCCTGTCACTGTATTGAATGAGTCTGATAGTTTAAGCTGCTTCATCTTTCCACCTTACTGACTCCTACTGAGTTTTCTAGAACACAATGTTAAATTCAGCATTCACTGTATTCCAGTAACTTGGAGAACTGAAATGACAGTAAATAGGTGAGATCTCCCCCAGGTAATTGCACAAGACCTTTGGAGTTATTGTAAGAGTTAAGTTCTGAAAGAGGGGGGAAGGACGCACTAAACTTTCAGTTCTTGGGGGTGGGCAAAGAAAATGCTGTCTAGATATCTTCAGTACAGGTAGGTCTACTCTGCCTGAAAATGTAACAAAGAAGAAAAGCCAACATGACAGAAGGGGGAGGACAAGCTAGTCCTGTTATCCTCTCTGGAAGGCTGGAAAAGCAGAATGAGAAACAAACTGACAGGGCTATTATTGTCATTACTTAGAGCACCTCTTGTTATAATTGTTATTTATAGTATCTCTTCTGAGGCATTGAAATAGAGCAGATAGAGATACAAATCTGCCCAGAATTAACTGGATAGGGAAGCTAGACAAGGCAGTAGCCATGTTCTGCCAGTATTTCAAAAATAAACACTTTGTACTCTGCCTGGAATTCATGTAGAATCTGTGCAGCAGTTCCAGTTTGCTGGCAAGGATCCCAGACGGAGTCTGCGTTGCAGATGAAAGAGGAGGGATGGGAGGGAGGACGGAGAGTGAGAGGAAAAGGAGCAAGTCCCAGCCTGCTTCCTCCCATGCACTTCTTAGAGGATTAGGACTGCTCAGCATGCCAAGGAGCAAAAGGAACAAGAATAATTGAGATGAGGGTTTGTTTTGCACATTGTTAAAAGGGGTTGGCCTTTTCTGTTAGTCTTGATGGTCATTTATTTTGTCTTACTAGCATACAGAAGGGATTTCTGTAAGAAACTCTGCTGATATCTAGAAGCTCATATTAGATTTATGAATTAAGTTGGTTTTATTCATTTAACAGTTAAGGAACCTGCACAAGCCCTAGGGGCCCAGTAGTGGATTCATCACATCCTAGTGAGGTTTTCCAAACTCTTCTTTCTAAAAGGAATCTCTAACAGAAGAATGTGAATATACGTATTGATGTTTGAGGGCATTTTTTTAAACAAGTCCGTTTGTACTTCTACTTCTTCAGTAGAAAGCTCCTAAAATAACTTGCAGTAAACCAGGAAGCACAGCCAATGGTATTAAAATCCAAGTATCTTTTAATACCACCACTGTGCATCCCTGGTTAGAAATTCATAGCTTTCCTGAGGTGTTGGACAAATTCTCTGTCTAAATATCAAAGTGCCTGCTGTGACAGGCTGGGTCTGCTGCATGAATGTGTGGAGAGAATGTGGAAGGCAGCAGAGCTGTTGCACCAGTTTGGAAAGCTTATCAAATGTCCGGATCAGTCTGGCTCCTTTGCTCCACTACAGCTTCCAAAGTCTGTGATGGCTCAGCTACTCAGTGTAGGCTGAGAACAGTTTCATTGCAATAGTTTTGGCTTAATCGTGCAGCTGAAGTCCATCAAATGCAATGCTGCTTACCGGTTGCTGGGAAAGCAGAGCTCTGTCTCCATTGTTAAAGCAGTGTAAAGACATTCCCATTACAGGTAAGGACCAGAACCATTTCTACTTCTTCCTTCTCACAGGTTAATGCCTTCATTCACTTGCCTGATCATCACCTTAGCTCTGTCTTATGGAACCACAAGCTATGGTTCACTGAGGCTTCAGGGGAACTGCTGTCAGGCTGTGATTCTGAGGTACTGCTACCATACT